TTTTTTTTTTTTTTTTTTTTTTTTTCGGGAAAAAGGTAGGGACTCCTTTATTCAAAGAATAAGCTTTGAGGCCGGGAATCCTCAACAAACAACCCGGTAGTAACCAAAAACGCCGGGAAGTACCCAGGTTCAATTCAACCAGCCTAATTCCTTACGGACTATGTATCCACGTTCACAACCGTAAAAGAGGATTTGTGAAACAGCCTGAGTGACAGACTCAGTCAAGCCCTCTGCTCTTCAATCTCTACTGATTCCATGCAGGCCTAACACGGGCTGCTGTACTACATTCCCTACTGACACTCCCTCCTATCCCTTCCATATCCCTACCGCAACTGCCTGTCTCCTGTGACATACAAACCGAGTGTCCACGTTTTGCTAAACCTTACTCAGAACTCCCCACCAATTCTTTACCTATCTTTCTTTTTGTGCTCGGGTCCCGCATGCACCTTAATGCAATGCTAAATCCGTTTCTTTTTCATATTTGGATCTCCCACTTCCTACCCCATCGCTAAACAAACCTCTCTCACCGTCTAAGTCAACTTCATCTAGTTCAACTAACAAGAGCGAATCCCATCATCCTCTTCCCCCATTGAGCCTACGTTGATAMTGTTCTTCTTAATCGACAGACTACCCTACTTACATACTYCATTCACCTAAGYCAGCCAAGAGCACARCTTCAAGTTACCTTTCTCATCCACGGAAGCCAAGCTTTCCTTGCCCATGCACCATGTTCTCCTGAAGTGAAATGAGTTGAGAGTTTGTCCTTTCCCACCCTTGCGATTCCAATCTGTTCGAATATGATAACTCAGTTTACTTTTGATCAGGGTTTTTGTTTCCACATCCGACATGCCTCTGCCCTGAAAGCTGGCACGATTCCTGTGTTCCCATATCACAGAAATAATGACTGAGCGACAGACTTGAGCCATGTACTCCACCCCGTGGTCCAATGGACAGTCATCCGGTAAAAGACCTAGAAGTGCCCATTTCTTGTCCCATTCCCAGCTGTGCAAYGAAAAAGTAGCCCAGTGTTGGGACCACCAATTCCAAATCCTTTTGGATGCTGGGCAGTCCCACCATAGGTGTGTTGTGGACTCAAAAGGCCAAGTGCAACGTCTACAGGACAAATTAACCTCCATTCCTCTCCCTGCCAGCCATACCGCAGAAGGGGAGACCAGCCATGACAGCAGCCAGAGAGTAGCAGCATCTCTCTGGGATGGAATACACCGTAGTTGTTTCCAGAGTCTGGGCATTTTACGTGAGAGTTCCGCCTCGTCCACCTCGATGACAGAGCTCCACCGTTGTGTAACCACTGCCAACGGAAGTTTTTTTGGAAGGAGGACTCTTAGTGATGGATCATAGTTACCTAAGGGGAGGGAAGAACCTCCCTTGCCCAATCCTCTYCATGCCCAGGCTCCCGGATCCAATCTRCRAGTGGCAACGGGCTGATCATTGCCCATTAAGAARACTTCGTGTTTTGCCTCTCGCTCCCAGGACTCTTCCACTCGTACTTGCTGTAATTCCGAACCTACCCATGGTGCTTCCAGCTCTTCATCTAAACTCAGACGCAGTTGATCTCCCGTACCTTTCCAAGCTTGCCAGTTCCTCTGACCATTGAGTTCATAYCCGWTTAGCTTCCAATATACCTTTGCTTCACCCTCGCTGAGTCCTGTCGTTCGGTACCAAGTTCCTGGAGGGTCAACCCCTCCAGGGATGAGAATGCTCTTTCATTCCTGGGGGATGGCTTCAATTAGGCTAGCTGCCTTTTCTTCTACTCTGTGCAGGTTGCCTAATTCCTGTCTGACTTGACTCCCAGGTTTCCACTGACCTGTAGTGGAATTTCATAAGTCTCTGATTCTCAGGGCACCACGTTGGATCCAGCTATCCCCAAAACTGCTAGCTTTCTTGTCAGCTCTGAAGCGGTTTCCCTCCGCATTGCATATCCTGGGGTTATCAAATGGGGTCTGACTCAATACCTCCTCTCTTGTTGCTGGTTCTACCCACTGATTAGGCCTTACCTTCTTCCAGGCATGGATAATATCCGCCCAAAACTTCGATTGCGTTCTGCGGTTTAAGAAAGAATCCATTTGCAGGCAGGTTCAAACATCCCTTGGTCTTCGAAGGTTCCACTCCCTTGAAAGAATATATTCCGCCAATAATATCCAATGATCGTCCTGCTCGCTGTTAAATGCCCTGACGATCCATTTCGCCAATAACAGGCAGTTCCTGTTCCGCGGGTCTGCCAGCCCCAGGCCCCCCTCTTCCTGGGGACAAGAGATAGCCTCCCATGCCACTTTCGTGATGTGACCCTCATCCTTCTCTGCCCTTGGTTTCCAAATAAACCGGGCTGCTATTCTTCGAATAAATGTCACCRACGATGTWCGTAGGAGGCGGACTGAGCCCACATATTCCAGCAGGGAGAACAAYGATGAGTTCACTACTAGTGCCYTGCCGTATAGTGATAAGTGGGTGGCTGAGCCCCAAGAAGTTAGTCTGGTTTYCAGCCTGTTCTGRAYTATGTCTTCTTGGATAACYTGACAATTGCCCAAGGCAACCATTACTCCTAGGAAACGCTCTGCTTCCCCCTCTTCGATCCTCCTCATTCCCCAGTCTACTTCTAATGTCATTGTTTGTAATAGGAAGTAGACTGATTTCCTCCAATTAATTGCCGCTTCCGAAAAACGAGCATACYCATCGAGCAAYTCCTTCAGGGCAKTTAAGGCTRGTTCAKAATTCTCACAGATGGCAAACAGGTCATCTGCTAARSCTTTGACTTTGCAGTCTGAACCCGACGTTGCCAGCCSTATTATCTYTGGGCGACTTCTGATRTTACACAAGATAACCTCAAGTTGGACCACAAAAACCAGCGGAGCTAACGGACATCSCTGTCTRAGAGACCTTGTGAGTGGGAATGGCTCCGAYTGAAACCCATTGACCATAACCGTGGCTGTAGAATGAGTAWACAGTGCTATGAACCACCGACARAAACAGTCGYCGAAACCCATATGACGCAGGGTTGTGAGAGTGAAAGCCCAGTTCACTCTATCATAAGCCTTTTCAAGGTCCAGTAGCAGGACTGTCAGCGGTTTTCGCTCATTCTCAATAATCTCCAATGCTTCAATGRYCGTGGCRWTATTATCAAAAATTGATCTGCCACGGACAAAAGTTGCCTGATCCCTTGCCACTAAGCCAGGAAGGTACTTCGCTAACCGTCTTGCTAATGTCTTGGCCAATAGTTTGTACGACACATTCAGTCTAGAGATCGGGYGCCAGTTCCGCAYGTCATCCTTYCGGCCYTTCTTATACAACAAGGTGATAACACCATGACGCATACTCTGTGTTAATTCCTCACCTGTTAGAATATTGTTATAAAATTCTAACAGGGAGTCCTTCATATCGGGCCAAAATTTATCATAACATTCCACCGACAGTCCGTCAGAACCGGGGACCTTCCCCTTGGCCATTGATTTTAAAGCCTGACGCACTTCTAACTTCGTTACTGGCCTATCCAAGTCTAGCCTCCCCTCTAGTGGTAAACGGGCTTCCACAACCTCCCACAGATCTGTCATATCTGACTGACCTCTAATGATTTTCGCACAATTCCTGCGTGATGTTAGGATATCATGATAATACAACTCTGCGTACTGACACATGGCCATCGAGGAATTGGCCACTGGGGCATTCTCATCAAAAGGGTGGCTCAAGGTTTTCATTTCCTGCTGAGAGAATCTGGGCAGAAGGCGTTGAAATGTGGGCTTGACCATTCTGTCACCAGTTACAATTCCCTTGACTCTCAGGATTTCAACCCAGCGTCTCGACTTATCCTCTTGGATCACATCCCACTTCTTCAGTTTGACGGCTCTTTCCCTTTCCCAACACGTTGCCTCCCTAGATCCATATGGTAAGATAGCGACCCGATTTTCTGCTTCTTCTACTGCTTTCTTAGCCACCGCTTCCTCTTTATTCAGATCCAGCGCCCTGATTTTTGAGAAAATACTTAGCATATCCCTTAAAAAATAAGTCCCCGCGTCCCACCATTCAGCTTTTGACTGGAATAGGGGTCTGTACTTCTTCCAAGTTCTCAAGTGGTTCGATACCCACTGTTGAACTCCAAGGTCCCTAATAGTTTCCTCATTAAGGCGGAAGATTCCTTTTCCCCTTTCTGGACCATCACCCCAGAGAAACTGCATAATGATGGGATTGTGATCGAAAATTGAGTGAGGCATTGTCGCCACGTCAACCATGTTATCCCATACCGTTCTGCTGGTCAAAAAGAAATCTAAGCGTTTTGGCAGTATGCTTCGATCCGCTGAAGTCTGAGCCGAAAACCAGGTGTACCCGGGGTTAGCCGGGGACGAGAGGCGGAAGATGTCCACCAGGTCCAGTTCCGAAATTAGATCAGTCACTAAGTTAAGTTCCCTCCCCACGTGCCGAGTGGAGAAGAGCGGGTTACTGTCATCCATAGAAATATTCCAGTCCCCTGCRATCACWATGTGCTCAGTATCTGGCAATACCTCYATCAATCCCTCATAAAAGATCATCCGCTCAGATTTCTCAGCGGGAGCATAGACAGTGACTACAGCCCACTCCACCCCTGCCGAAAATAACTTAATCCATGCCCATTTCCCCCAGCTATCTGCGTCGTAGTCCAAAATTTCACCATCAAACCTACGGTGCATTAGGATAGTCACCCCCCCTCTTGACCCCATTGTCGGCGCCCAAACTTGAGGCCCATCCCACCACGCTCCCAAACTTTGAATTCCTTCCTCATCCAATTTCGTCTCCTGCATGCACATAAAGCTAATGTCATTTTCGTGGATCCATAACTTGATCCTGCCCCGTTTATTCCTTTCGCCTGTGTCCCCTAGGCCTCTCACGTTCCAAGAACCAATCTTAACGTTGCGCATCCTCTGCTCTCAACCTTCCTGATGATTGGATGGAAACCGATGGGATTGAAGGACGGGGCCGAGAAATTGGATCAGCAAACTGCCCCGTTTCCCATCTTTGAGTCAGGTAGGATTTGAAGCCCTCTGATTCAATTCCCCTGATTCTAGGCATTTTTGTGGACAATGTTCCCAACACAGATGCGTTAATACCCTCTAAAATATTGATCGAATTCAGTTCCGGTCGGTCCAACTGGGCCAACCAATCGAGTGGTATCAAACACAAACCCCTACCCATCAGGCTACCCAAGGCTTCTTGAGTTAAACGTGCGTCCATCAGCGGAGCATACAGCTTGACCTTTACCCTATCCCGTTCCACAAAAAATTTGGGGGTGGGGATATTAGGGATACATCGGATTGCGATTTCATTACCGAAGAGTCGACGGGCCATGTTAACTGACTCCTGCGGCATCGGGGGCCCGGGGATCTGCAACGACGGGAGAATCACTTCCATTGGAGAAGTTGACCATGCCAGAGCAAAACCCCCCTCCTGCGCTGCCGTGAATAGCAAGGGCAGCAGGTACTTCATCCACTTCTGATCTTGTCCTTTTTTCGCCGTCATCTGTCTCCGGCTGCATTTGGGAGTCTTCTGCGTGGAAATTGCTTCTGCCGTTTCTCCTCTATGAATCGAAGCTTCCGACGTTTCTGACCTGACTTCATCTTCCTTCTCCTGAATTCGTAAGTCCCTCATGTCCTCGCTGAGTCTTCGACGAAGTTTAGTTGGTGTTACATTCTTTTCCCTGGATATTTCCTGGTCCGCCTCTTTTTTCCCTCTCGTTTCCTCCGACGGGACAGTGGTAGTCCTACCTCTTCCTGCTGACAGGTTCCCTCCGCCAAGTCCAGATCCCCCGGGCAGACTTTTCGACCCTAGCACGCCTCCTAAATAACCTCTCATCCCGCTCCGGCTTATTGACCGGTTCTCCCTACTCCCCTAGGAGTGGGTCCCCTCGTCCAAGGGTTGGAACATAGGGTTCACTCTGGTCGTACCCTGCCACCCTGTACTTGTCTCCCCCCCCTTCTCGCTGTTCCCGCCCCTCCTAAAGTCCGAATAGGGCTTTAATTTTCCCCCATACGTGCCCTGTTTAACACGCCCTCCGTCGTYACTTGACTTTGGAGAGGCCGTACGTGCAGTACTTGATGACTCCGACCCCATTGGCTGGGGGCTGTGTCTTTCTCTTGACCTTCCTCTCGATTGGTGCTCCCCCCTCCTATMACCACTCCCTCTCCGGCTCCTGGTTCTTCGAGAACTACCCCGACTTGYWGGCGGGGTTGGTCTTGGCRAAGGCGTTCTCAGAGGTTGCCGAGTCCGAGATCTCGAACATTGATCTGATGAGTGGAAKAATTTCCTGCAATTACTACACCATGGGGTCAACGCGTTGGCCACCTTGATTTCGATGARTTGACCTTGAAATGTTGTGAACGATAAAAACTCCTTGCACCGAGGTAAGGCTTCGATGGCGATGTCCATACGGACGTTAATCAACTGCGGCTTCGATGCATCCTTCTCCGATGGATATACTTTCATTACTGGTCCAATYGCCCTCGTCGCCGCGTCCTCTAGAAAGCAATAGGCGTYGATAGGTACATCCATGCATCTTATCCARAAGTATGTCTTCTCCTCTGCTYTTTTTGCTTCTAGAATGTCAGCCTTCRTCATCCACGGTTTAAACCTMACCGAATACCATCTTCCACGGAGCTCAATCGTTACCYCTTGCTCATTCCTCATCCACTCAGCCACTTTCTGGTCCTTTGCAATGTAGGAAAGAACGTTGCTAGACTCGATGCAGACTCTTCCCCTCGKAACCGAGGAGTCGAACCTCCTGTCCCCTAAYCAAACGTCCTCATATGCCCTAATGACGTCTTCCTTTATTTTCTTGGGTAGGTTTTTTGAACCTTCCAGGAAAATAACGGTGACAGTCCGTTCTTTGAGCCATTTTACCTTAATTTTATCCAATGATGGATTTAAGGTTTCCCTCATCTCCCTAATATCCCAACCCGACGGGAGTATCCCTGCATCGAAGCACTTAGCTATTATGTCTCGCACTCGTTCCTCTTCCACCCAATAATTAGTTACTGCTGGGGGCGGCGAACAATTTTGTTGTCCTTCATCGTCCTCTTCCCCCTTTCGCGTTCCGTGTTTTTTCTCGACTTCTGCTCCAATCATGCCGACGTCGTGTGCTACTCCTGGAGGGGGAGGGTTCCCCGAATCGTCCTCCGCTTCCATTGAATTGAATTCTCTTGCCCGTAGCCTGATTGCTTATGCTTCCTTACTTCTGGAGCGATGGTGCGTACCTTCGAGGAAGGGGGACAAAGAACCAAAGAGACTCGGTTCCCGCCGCCAACAGGGTCTGTCTCCCTTAGCCTTAAGTGCCCTTACTCAGCTTCCTTTCACTGGTTAGCCAATAGTTCCGTACTCTTGTAAATCAAACATTTCCATCAGGCTAGACTCGAGGACGGTGGCGATGGCTGACATGGCAGACATGACCCGCACTCGAAACCTAGCAACCCACATTGATTGCGGGCGCTAGGCGTCCAGGCCAGCTGGAAACCGGCGGGTAGCGGAACCGAGCGCTAATTTGCGCCGCGAACCAGTACCTCCCCCAAACCCCACTATTACTTTTTCTTTTATTATATATTTTTTTCTTGATTTATGTGTGTCATCCTTGTGCAGGGCCGTACAGACTTCCGCGCAGTTGTTTTCAGCCGTGCGATCTCAGCGATCGCATGACCGAAAACGGCCGCGCCAAAAGGCTGGGCCGCTCCCAAAAGGAGCTATGCCAAGTAAGGCCTATCGGCTTCGATCCCAGTATCTGCCAGGTAACGGTTGGGCGCTGTAACCAACTGGGCTAGCTCCTCGCCCTTTCCCTATCCCTCATATCATGGCCTTGCAGGCCGTGCCTGCCTGTGGCCCGGTAGGCCCAACCTCTGCCCGCGGCCTTGCAGGCCCTGCCTGGCCGTCTGTGGTCTTGCAGGCCTTGCCGGCATGCCTTACCCCGTTGGCAGGCCGCGTGGCATCGGCCCATCAGCCCGATGGCCCGATATCAGTCTCCGCGGCCTAAACAAAAACTCCCCATTCCTTCTACGTCGCGGCCCTATACCCGGTGCATCCTCACTTTTTAGCCCATTTGGGCCCTGAATCGCACGGCTTAACAGCCGCGCGACATTATTTTAAATGGGATAGGTATAGTTTTACCGTTCCCATGTCCGCACATACCTGCGGCTTCGACAAAACGAAGCATTACCATACACATTTGTTACTCCTGGACGCCATACACGTTCGGACTAACATTTGAAACTTTTAGTCTGTCAGTCATAGGTCATACCTGAATAAACTTTTGGCAACGTCGGTCTCATCAAGTCCTTCCATTCAACGCAGAAGTCAGACGACGTCCGACGTTGAAAAACCTTGTCAGGGTATTTGCCCCGACAACGCTACGTCAGACGGAGGTTCGTGCAGTGAATGACCGGTACGGAAAAAAAAAAAAAAAAAAAAAAAAAAAAAAAAAAAAAAAAAAAAAAAAAAAAAAAAAACAGTTGAAGTGCAAAACAAAAAAGAAAAAAAAAAACAGAGCATGCCTTCCGGGTGCAGCAGGAAGTGGGCCCCGGTAAACAGTGGCTTGATGCAGAGATGTTCGTAATTCGTAATCCGAGAATCACAGTAAGTCACCTGGATAAAGAATCCAAGACAGTAATCACAGTTAATAAGTGTTTACTCAGGAAGATCACGGTGGTAGAGGATGGCAAATTTACAGTATTTGCACCCACGGTGGCCATTGAAGATTTGGAGTACGACCCGGCGGAATGGGCATGAAATATTAGGGGTGGAGAGACACGAGTGACAACGAAGATTAACAATTTCCGCTATACAACGAGACTAGGTTATAGGCTGAGGAGAAGATCAACCCATCTGGATCTTCCCCTAGCCTTAAGATGGGAAAAGAGAGAGGGGATCTACAGTGGCTCATCCTCCATGTGGCCCTCCCAATCAACTCTTGGTTGTATGAAAGAAGAAGCAGGCAAACTAGGGAAGGGGAGGAACGAAATTGTACCCTATGTACGGGTGGGGCTCTGGAAACGATGGTCCACTGCTTAATCTCATGCCCGGAGGCAGAGAAGGTATGGGTGTTAGCTCGCGTACTATGGTCCCGGATCACGAAAGTTCCCTTCCCTCCGATCAGAGGCAGACTCCTAATCAACATGGAAGCGCCCAGAGACTGGAATTCCTGCCAAAAACACATTTTTCAGATACTGAGGCTTTACGCGCTGTGGACAGTGTGGAAAAGAAGATGTCAAAGGGTGGTAGGGGAGAACCATATGACTATAATGGAAGCCAGCGGAATAATGTACAACCTGCTGGAAACAGAAATCAGGGCACAATGGCAGAGAGCCAAGAAGCAAGCGGAGAGGCAGGCAGAGTTAAATCCAGATAAGGCTAAGGAAATAATTAACAAGTTTAGGACAAAGGTTCTAGCAGCGGGAAAGGTGGCTTCATTGGAAGGGAAAGCCTTGCGCTTCCATTGGTTTAAGGACGATCTCCAGGACCCGCCATATGAGGACGAGAATGGGGACCAGGAGCTTGGACTACCATAAACTGCGGGAAGGAGGAGAGATCTGCAGAAGAAACCGCAAAGGGAGGGAACCTCAGACCTACTTAAAATAAGACTAACTTCGCAAGGACAGGACTGGGATACAAATGACGCTGGGGCAAAAGAGAGGGAGCAGCAGGGAAGAGACGAACAACCAAGGATGTTAAGTATTGAAGAGAGAGAATAAGGGACAAGGGACATCGATTAAAGTGTCAGGAGAGGAAGCAGGGTTTAGGGTTTAGGGTTTTTATAACACTTAAAAGGCAGAGAAAGGGTTTTTGGGTAACAGGGGGGAACACAACTTTTGTGAAGAATTGGTAAAAAGAGGAGGGTAGATCACATGGCAGCAAGGGAGGATCTCTTTCTAGGTTTAACAAGAATTTCTGGCAGAGCTGTTAGGGCAGATCTGAGAGAGAAGAGAGACTCAAGGCAAGCTGACAGTCAATCCTCCACCAAGGGTGGAGTAATCAATGTTGTTCAGGGGTCCTCCGGCCGAACGGGAGGAAGCGTGTGTGTTTATTCTGTAATGTTTTCAGTTGTGACTTGCCGGTGGAATAGGAACCGGACTAACGCTCCCCAGAATAGAAGG